GAAAGAAAAGCCTACATGTAGTATTTAATATGTCTCAGTTTCTTTCTGTTATGGTATTCACTTGTATGGCAAAGCCCTTCAGTTCCAGATACCGTTAATCATCCAGAGTGAGTTTGAAATGCCCAAAACCGTGGGTACACACCAGTAGTACAGTCTAATACACCATGTAAGATGAAGAGCACCTGTGCCTTTAAGAATTTTAAAGAGCTGGTAACAATTATTGGCCAAATTACAAATGTCACAACCCATTAAAATCTAGCAGTTTGATCCAAGGTTGGTGCAAAATCCAAGATAAAATCCAGTTTTTCATATTCTGTTTTTTAAACACACAGCTAAAACAAGTTATTTGTACACAAGGCTTGATGTCTTTTCAAAAGAGCTTTCAGTGTTTTGTACCTTGATACTCAAAAGACAGGGAAAACAGGCTAAGAGCTACTTGCTCCCTTCTTAAGTAGTCTCAAAAAAACCCAGGCATTTGGATCACGTTCGCTCTGAAGAACAGGCACATTAACGGACAGTAATTATACCAACAAGGTATCTTGTATGCATTTTTTCTTCCAGATAAAACCTACCTGTTTACTTTTTGTGGCCTTTCCAGAAGAATTCTTGCCTCCTTTAGTATCTTCCATGTTTCTCAAAACATTGATGAAATCTTTCTTTGAAACAGACGACAGCAGTTTAGCACGCTGCCTGTCAGAGCTCCCAGCTTTCTTCACCTTCTCATCAACGTTTTTTTGGTGCATCCTGACAGCATTAAATAATTGCACAACACCTCTGGGATGGGGGAAAAAAACAACAAAACAAAACAAAGTTTTTAACTCAAGTTCCCTTTACAGAAATAAACGCTCTACCGGAGCAATTATTCAGTGCAGATGCTGGATGGCTTCTAGCTCCTCAAAATGGTTACTTAGAACCTCCATTCAGTTAAGAAGTAACACTTACTACAACTTAAGAAACTTTCCATTTTCACTCTTCCTTCACTTATTGCTAGGAACCAGTAACAAACAAACCTACAAATAACTATTCAGACCCTGAAGTAAGCATGGTAACATGGCACTGAGATCAGTGCAAAAGTGTGTTTCATCCCCAGAAGCATGTTACTCGTCCTACAATCAGCTATTAAATTCCTCAGACAAGATCTTAAGAGCAGTTGAAGCAGGGGGACAAGGCAGAGAAATTAATAAGGAAACAGACACCAACAGCACATCAAGGTGTTCAACTAGTTTTGTGACACCAGACTACCACAACGCAGAACAGGTCACTGAACTTAACAGTTGTGGATCCGGGGAACCCTCTATGGAGGAGGAAAAAAGAGAGTAGCAGAAGCAACTGTTCTGCATTGTTAAAGAATTAAATTAACAAAATGAGGGGATCCAACAAAGCACTTCTGTTAAGCAAACATTACATCCGCATCTAAATTTTTACTCTTTCATAAAGCTTCCGAAATCTTTTGTTGAACTTGATACTGTATAATGCAGACCTGTACATAAATCACTTGGCTCCTGCTAGTCACTTCTTAAGAGTTCAATCTGATTGGAAACAGATTACCTGCACAGGCCTTTTCTTCCCCTTTTCCTCCTCTTTTTGATATACATACATTTAAGGAAAGCATTCAGAAAAACTCTTACCTTGTGGCAATTCTCTGAAGATTTCTTTCTCTGTCTCTGTCTTTGACAACATCTGGCTTCACTCGGCACATCATTTCCCACTCCCGCTTTTTATCGAGCTGCGTTATAAATATTGTTATGTGAAACAACACGGAGCATTCGAGAACGCAGCATGCTCTGATAGAGTATGTAGTGGGAGAGGAAAAAATGATAAATCAACAAAGCTCAGTTTGGTTTGAGGGTAAGGGGAGCCCCAATATGGGACTGGACAACAGGTCTGAGGCAAGTCTCTTGCATTGACACACCAGGGGCCACAATCACATCTCAAAAAGTCTTTTGCCTTCTGTAACAAAAGCTAGAAAAGAGTCGCACCAGAGCGATGCCTCTATCTCAAGACAAGCAAAAGGAGTCTAGAAAAACTCAAATGCTTCCACACTGACTGCTACGGACAAGGAAATTATTAAAAGGCAGCTTTCAACTCCAAGACTTCACAAGCTGATCACGGAGAAATTTATACATAATAAACCCCTGGGTCCATCAAGACGGGCATATCGCATTTTGAGCCTTGGGAATTCGACTTCCTCTGCTGAATTAATCATGGCACAGCTTTGTGACTGACAGCAACATGTGAAGAAGACTACAGCGAGCAGAAATCAAACACCAGGAAGAGCACCAAGTGCCCACTAGAAAACAACTCCTTTGTACAATGCTGATTTTCGTCTTTTTTTGAGGCTCTCTGTTTCAAAACCGAATTGATCCACTTTCCCATTACCAAAGGCCACAACACCACCAGCTTACTTCTGCTACAATAAGAGAACACTGTGTTTCCCCAGACCCTGCTTCAGGAGTAAAGTAGTGAGGTTTTTTTCCTCCACTTTTAAAAATTTAACAGTGTTAACAGTGTTCTGGGCCTGGTAGTGTTGCATTAGTCTGTTTTACACAAGATGTCTTTCATGGAATTTCAGAGTCCTTATCTTTATAATTCCAGGCAGACTATTACGAATTTGTGAGTTTATGACCACATTTTGGCCTTTGATCAAAAGAACTGCCCTATTCTAGCTTCCATCAGCAAGAAACATTGCTGCCAAGAAGGCAGACTGTTCTCAAGTTTTCCTAATGGTAAACAAGTCAGTTTAGGGACCTGCAGCCCACCTCTGCTTTGCAGTTCTCCCACATATTTACTGGATGAGAACAGGTATTTAGGACAACCTTAACAGAGCAGATGCCGTACTGAAGCTCTCCATATTTAAAAGGCAGGCCGTGGCCTAACCACAGCATGTCCCAAACCGTCAGGTGGATAACCAAGTTATCCCATTGAAACAGAACTGGTAAGATGAGACATTAGAACTATTAATGTATTTTTAGCCTGAGGGCAAATCAATCACAGCCTGGAATTAAAAGTTCCACTAAAGACGCACAAACAAATGACTTAATTGCCAACAGAGTTTTTGTTTTCTTCGTAACAGTTTTAGAATCAGAAGACATTTAGGGCACAAACACTACAATAGAAAACTCCTACCAGGAAAACCATTGAGAGGAGCAAACAACAATTCACAACCACATCAATGATGACTGCTATCTCAATGTACAGGCCTTTGATTTCGGAAGTTGCAGCAGAATTTAAATGAAAGCAGTTTTCTTCTCTTTCTCCCTCTCACTTTCAATCAGAGAGAACTATTTCAACTTGTAATGCCAACAAAGTGAATTATTCTCCAAATTAAGAACAGCAATTAGGAGATTAAACTTAGAGCAGCTGCTTGCACCTTCTCCACAACAAAAACACCTTAAGCTGACAGACTGGAACAGTCCTGCTGCCAAAGATCAGCCTGCCTGATGGCCCAGAAAAAGCAGTACAAGGAAGAGCCCTACAGTATGACTGTCTGGAAAGTAAAAAATTGAAGCTACTTGAGAACACCATGGAGGAGAGATTCCAAAACTGAGACAGTCTCAGAGCACTCTCCCAAATCCCCACTGACGGGATCTTGCATGTATCCCCCTCTGACTGTGACTGCACAACGAAACACTGCATCTTTTTCTCACCTTCATCCTCTTCTCCAGCCTTTCTTGTTTTTCCTTTTCTTTCTCCTTCTCCAGTCTTTTATTCTTGGCCAAGATGGTAGACTTATTTTGTGGAATCTTTTTGTTGAGCACTTTTGCCATGGCATCTGCCCAGCCTGCACTTGGGCCAGCTTTGGAGCTTGTTGCCTCTTCAACCCCATCGCCAAGGCCTGCCGTTTCATCTTCATCATCACCATCCAGGGCTTCACTCCCTGAAGAGTAGCTGTCTTCTGGAAGTCCTGAGTTTAACTCAGAATCTAGGGGTGAAAAAAAAGAAAAAAAAAGAATAATCAGGAGTTCTGTTTCTAGTAAGAATTCATCGCTAGCTTAATTTGTTCCATATGTAAATGTTATCCGAGTTCAGGGCCATGTACGGCTTGCTGTTACAATTAATTCCTCAAGCAGGCATACAGCACCACAATGAATTTATTAGAAAGTATTCAGTGTAAGTACTGACTCATCACAGTGATGATTTAAAGAGATTTAAGAGGTTGGGTAAAAGAGAAAAGGCAGCCTTGGATATTTATTATTAGATTAATGAATATTTTGATGTTAAGGAGAGGTAAGTTTTGGGGAAAAAAATGTATTTTCCAGTTCAAACCCCATAATTTATAAACGCATGCAGACACATATAGGTATTTGTATATATGTGTATGTATGTACATACATACAAGCTGCAACAGTGCCATCTAGTGTTTAAGTACAAACAGCCACATGGAATAATTGAAGGTGGGGGGGCATTTCTTACATGAAAGAAAAATGTGCTCAAGGAAAATAATGCCAGCAAAAATACGATTACCTAAGCATAATGAACACAGAGGGGAGACTGCTTTGGGAGATACAGAATCAAGACAGTTATCAGCCATCAAAACGAACCAGAGGCTGAGCTTTTCTGGTATAAGTAACTGCTCAAGTTCTTGATACACAAACAGAACACCCCCAAATTCAAGTTTCCTTACCCTATGCCCCCTTCAAAACAAAAAAAAAGAAGAAATTAAAGTTAAAATACTGAAGCTTAGAATCAAGCAACTACATGACAGGATAGAACAGCCAACTAGATGGCAAATTAAACACATGAAGAATCTACCACTTCCCTCATTAGTCTGTTCAGTGGGTCAAACAGCAAAAATTAAGTCTTCAACGGTGCGGTTGATTAACTACAATGAATCGGGCTGCAAGTTTATGGTTTGCTAAAATATGTTTGGCTATTTCAGTGGACTTACTTTATCCCATAATCAAGAGCAGGGCACACAAGTGTCCTGCCACTATTAACTACTACTACACTAACATCTGTGCAACCCATAAGTTTTAAACTAATTATGCTACATACAACTTCTAGGGCTGCAAATCAGGTTCTGGACAGGAAGCTGGTTTCTGATACCTCCGCAGTCTCATCAGCAAAGGCACAATTCCCCACAATCTCTGAGATACCAACTGACTGGCTTTCATCCATCTACCACTCTCATACTACTTTAAAAAAGTATTTTAAAATCACAGTGTTAAGTACTACTGAGCCAAGTGCTTTACTTTGCAAGCACTACTATATCCCCTGTACTACCTTTATCAACCAAGTCATTAAGAGAACTAATTCAGGACTGCTTCACAAGATCTGTTTTCCATAAAACCATGCAGACAGCTATTAATGATATTCCTTATTAATCAATTGCCTATTTAATTACTTAACAAACATTAACATACACTCTGTTGCCCAACTAACTCATTACTCTGCCTTCTCCATGTCTCTCTGAACCAGCAAAAAACCCCTACATAGCAGCACAACAGTGGTGTTAACCAATTTAAAGCCAAGCCTCTAACACCAAGGCATGTTTAGAGGCTCAGAGAGCATTTAGTTATCATCACGGAAAGAAGCAAGATCATATGTTTACATCACAAATGTGGAAGGGAAAATCAATGAATACTTGCTCATTATCAGTGTGATTTTTACTACCAACAAGGTGGACACTGTTGTGTCACACTCTACATAGGACAAATTATGGAGCTTTTTTTCAACAGTCCTTAGTATAAATTACAGATTTAGAAGTGGCAAATTTATTCAACACATTCAGAAAATGCTAAAGGCATCCTTTTTATGATATCAGTATGTCTCCATATCCTGATTTCCAAATAAAAAAAAATTCAAACCATTCCATGTAAAGTAGGTGCATCATCACATTCTGGTCCCTACATGTAAAACAACTTGTCAAGTTTTCACCCCTAAGCCTTGTCCATGCTAGAATATTGTTATGTAGTTTTTAAACAAGGAATTAACCCCTACTTGTGACTTTTTATACATACAAAAGCTAACAGCTACCAAAAGTCTAAACTTGAATTCCACACACAGCTTAGAGCCAACTTCCACAGTTAGCCATAAAAACCAGATCACGCTTCTAAAAATTAAAATTGCAAACGCATGTATTAGTCTCCTTTATATATCTTCTGCCAATAAAATGGGAGAACAATGCTGGATAATACCAAGATTTTGCTTTCAACAATTACAGAAAGGTGAACAAGGCTTCAAGAACCAGCCGTAACTTATTCTTTAATACATCAGAGGATCTGTCAACAGCATGAGATAAAGCAGAGGTATTTCAAAATAATTTAAAGTAGATTAACTCTATCAGAAGTAGGACCTGGGGCTCTCTTCTGAATTATAAAGGTTGAAGCCTGGCATAAACTTAACATTAAAAGTCCTAATCACGTGTATGCAGGAAATACATGTATATACCTTCATACTTTATTCTTCTAAACTTGCTCAGTGATCAAAGTTTAGACACATACAGTTAAAACCAGGAATCTTTCGTAAGTGAGCTCTGAAAGAAGGTCCCGCACAAGGATATCCCTTGGGTTCAGTTTGGACCATCAAACCGAACAGAACCACTGTGAGCTACGGCTCCAAACGGCCACAACCTTGACTCCTCCCAGAATAAAGAGGAAAAACAATTTCCAATCACATGATATAACTAAGAAGTGATCACAACTAGTCAGGTATATCCTCACAACACACAAAGAGGCAAGAACGAGTAGAGAACCATGTATAAAGGATGGAGTATGAGTGTGTTTATACTCTGTGCTCTCCTGCTGGATTTCTGCAATTGGCGTATCTCCCGGTGGATTTCTGTAATTGGCGTATCTCCCGGGTTTACTTCGGGGCAGGACGCAGATCCCAGACTCATGCGGACAGAGAGCAGCCGACACGCAGCCCACTGCGCCCCGGAGCTCGTCCAGCTCTGCCCAGTCACTCCCACCTCCCCAGTAAAGGGACACCACGGAGACAGGCGGCAGCAAAAGTTACTTTGCAGGGCCCCGGGAATAAACGAGCTGCTGTCGG